AGCAATCACACTGACAGCTCAGAGCAGGGTAACACACAGTAGCAATCACACTGACAGCTCAGAGCAGTGTAACAGTATCAGTCACACACTGACAGATCAGAGCAGGGTAACAGTATCAATCACACACTGACAGATCAAGCAGGGTGACACACAGTATCAATCACAAACTGACAGCTCAGGGCAGGGTAACACAGTATCAGTCAGTGATCTTGTATCTTATATTACCTGTTTCTGTCCTGCTTCTGTCCTGGTTATTGTTGTAAAAGGTGGCTCTACAAAATGTTAAAATGTGGGGATTGAATATTTATACAAACAGCAGATTTCATTTTTTTATTTTTCTTAAGAATATTTCCTAACATAAAACAGTCACATTAGAATAATTAATGTTGCATTTCAGTTCTTAGAAATATAAATATCACAGAGAACTGAATTTCAATGTAGGATTTGTAATTCAGTCAAATGAGAGAATTAGTCAAGGGTCTGAATACTTTTGAAAGGTCCTGTATATGTAGAAACAAAATTCAAACTTGTACATTCTTCATTCCTAGGCAGTATTTCCAATAACCCCTTGTAATATTAAGGCCTGTCATCCTTTTTAACTTTTTTTTTCACACCTTTTGTTCTACCTTCACAGTTACATCAGTGAATTTTAGCCTGAAGTTGTTTTGGTCATTACTCACGGCAACACTGTATTAGAAAAAAAAACATTTAATTTCCACTTACATCTGCGACAAATCAGTCCAGGTTGTAGTCATGTGTGTAACCATTATGAAAAAGGTTTTGTTTTTGTTTTTTTCATGTTTTTCAAGCATTCACTTCAAAATATTTTTTTGTCAGATTACTTTATGTACTTTTTTACGACTGTATAACACAACTAAAACACCTGAAGAAAACTTCACGGCCGAAACGTTGTGTTTTCTTTCTTCTCTTTTCAGCAGGGAATAAACCTATTACTTCTTCCAAAGCATTTCATTGCTGACAACACCACTGTATGCCACACTGTTCATGCATTGATCAATAAATAAACCCTGATTGATTGATTGATTGATTTCAATTAGAACACGTCAATTAATATCGCAGTGGATGAATATAACCTTACCAGCTGCTCCTACACTCCTAGTGATTCCTGAAGAGTCAAAATACCTCTCAAATCCGTAACGTCTGGTGTCAGGTTATCGACTCAGCCACCTCCTCCCTCAGTTTGTTAATTCGGACTCGTTAATCCACCCGATTCTCACGTGTTGGTTTCTGATTGGATCAACCACACGTTTCCTTTTATCCGAAACGACCGTAAAATCTGTGGGAGAACCAACTCCAACACGGGTGGGTACAGCGGGAGAAGAGACTTTTTTTTACTCTGTTTTCTGTTGATAACCCACCATTTAGTTCTTCTTGATGCTGGCGGTGAAGACGCAGCTGCCGTTCAACAGCTTGCAAGCTCCTGAACTGACGACCGCACAGCACAAGCAGGAAGGTGCAGCAGGAAGCACAGAGCGACAACAAAAAAAACAAGACGTCAACGCGAAAGGTCGAAGTCTTGGATTTTTTTTTTTAAATGAGATCGGAAAGTTTCAGATCTGGTTGAAAACTTGGTCAACTGTTCAACCCCTGAAATGTTGAAATTGGAGCAGCGTGAGGAATATCAGGCCCACAGATCAACACTGTTTACAGATACGGATTAGCAGGGCTAAGACTAAAGTAATTTTCAGTTTTCAGGCAATATTTCCTGTGTTTGTTGTGGATGGGCAAATACTGTGAGCTATGAAGGACCATGTGCACGCTGTCCTTATTAATTCAATTCAATTTATATAGCGCCTTTCACAACAAGGTTGCCCCAAGGCGCTTAACGATACATTTTGTCAATACTGTCCGATCAGACAGTGTCAATTCTCCGACAGGAATGGGATGGTCGTTTTCAACAGGTGTGTACATCGCCCAGCGTCACGGGCTAACCAAATACATCCAGAAAGTGTCTTAATTTCCAAAATCTGAAGTTAAAAAAAAAAATCGCTCCGTTTTAGGGGTCTTGCGAGATGGTGTGTGGCATTTCAACACAAATCGTCAACCTTAACATTCAATGAGTAAAGCTGTCGCATAAATCGGTCTACAGGTGGTGATCATCTGGAAAATTTAAAACGACACAAGCTTCCCCTTCAAGAGTGCGGCTTCATCCCTCTGCTCTCCTCCCCACTGAGAGCTGGT